TAACGAGGATCTAGATAATTCACCCCACACATAATTTTCAGCTGTTACACATATCTCCCCCTAATGTTAGGAAATCTAACATTTACCCCTAACCTCATTTGGGGATCCATCTTTATGCGTGGTGGAGCAATAAAATCATATGTGCACACATCAAATTTTTAGATGAAAATTATTTGGTTCCTGACCCTGAACCAATTGTAATGGAAAAACCTTGTTGGCTTGATGCATACATGTTAAATAAACTCATCTCATACCAAATTTTATTTGAGAGATTTGTTCTCATAATCAGTGGTCTCGCTATCATTGGAGGCAAACAAATTTTGCTAAACCAACCAGTATTATCAACATATTTTTATAGTTTGAAACTGTGCTATTAATTTAACAATTTGAGTAAACAACTTTACAAAAATCAATTTGTAAGTTGATACAATGCACATGTGACCACACCATAGATGCATCTATTAAATCATAATAGTAAGCGGTCCACATGGCAGGTGAACGAACCCATATTCACCATTTTATATGTTTCAAATAATTTCAGGGGATACAATTTCAACCTTAGCTGGTACAATAATCATTTTATCATGAGAACAAGCAACACAAGAGAATTCTTAAAGAATCTTTTATTTCTTCAAACATATAGTCACATGAATTCTCAATTTTATTTTATTTTGCATCACATTTGAATCGAAATAGCCAACCGATTATGCCAACTGATATTTATTCTAATAATCTTCTTGTTTACTTTTGCATGTTATTCCATCATCATGTTCATAATTGTATACAACAAACAACGGGAAGAAATGGGTAATCTTATACGTAAATATTTATAACCCACTTTAGTTGTAGTAATTTGAAGATATTAAATCTTCCCATAATTTATAGTCTCAATATAATATTTTTTTCTTTTTAATTCTTCCGAAACTTAAAAATTTTCTTTTGAGACTTACTAAATCCCAATATTATGAACAATTGCATTCCTCCGGATAGTAACAAATTAACCCTTTCGGAACTCTCAATTAATTTTGTGTACTACCCCAAATTTCACAACGCCGTTCTTATGGTTATCATCTCCTTCAAGGAGAATTATTATTATTGTCATAGTTAAAATTATCACATGCAAGACTTATTTCTTTTCAATCTCTCAAACCTCCCGTAGAGGTGAGATATGACATTTATCCAACAATACATGAACATGTTCTTATTCATAAGAACACAAGACACATTTTCTTTAAGAAATGGACCATAACCATTTGAACATGCTCCATAAGTTTTTTATTAGAAACCCACTGTCATGCTTTCACATTTATCAAATTTATGTGACCCACCTCAACATCACATTAGGAGGTCAAATGTACCAAATGTACTACCACTTTGTATTCCTTATTTTGATGGAGGATTTACAAAACTTTTCAAATTTGGGTTGCACCAACAACAATGTGCCCATTAACTTCTCATACCACTTTGATTGATAAAAATTACCTTAAAAAATTACCTTCACATTTGAAGGAGCATCTTAAAAAACAATGTGTCTAATAACCTTTCATACCACTTTAATGGACAAAATTACCTTCACATTTGAAGGACAATCGTCTTAAGAACCCATAATGTTCTTCCTTTTAATTATCACAATGATGACCATTAACATTTTACCACACTCATATTCATACATTCAATCACTTGTCATTTTCAGACATATTATGCACTGCTACCACATTCACATAAAAGAATGGAGCAAATTAATTGGGTAAATTTCATGACTTTCAGTCAAAAGTATAAAACTTTATGTTAGTTATCATCATATCATCACTATAGTGCATTAGGACTTAAACCCAATGTCTTATCTATATAAAGACACCTTTGGTCATAAATCAATGGGACTTGAACCCAACTTCTTATTATCATGGTGCACCGAGACTTTAACTTGATGTCTAACCCACTTGGTGCGGTGAACCCTGAATTCACCGTCTTACCTTCAACCAATGTCTTAATAAACCAAATGCATTACCAAAAAATAAATATTGAATACCATAAATATAATCTGAATTTGACTTAAAATTGAATAAAAATGAACAAAACTAATTAACTAGAACAATATGTTGGGACCAAATAAAAGTCCCAAGTAAAAATAAATTAAAACATTTTAATAGTCCCTCACAATATTGTTATGAAGATTGTCATAATTTACTAACCATTTTAAAATAACCACAAAACAAGCTTTGTTAGTACATTAATATATTAATAACTCAACAAGCAAATGTTTAGATAAAGAAAAATAAAGAGATACAAAAGTAACCAATAATGATAATCCAATCACAGTATGTATATGCCACATAACTCAATAACTTATCTTTTAACACAACAAGATCATAAAGAACAATTTCTTTACAAATTATTACCTTACAAAACTAATTTTACTTTTTAAATATATAAGTGATCAAATTAAAAGTTTGCTCAAAGTAAAAGCAACTTGCTGGACTCATATGATTTTGAGATGGTAAGAAAACTAATGATGCATAATCAAAAGTAAAATATAAAATAGATTATATAGTAATTTACCTTGTTTCCGAGAGAAAAATAAACACAAATATTTTTACCTTCTTTATATTTACTTTGTTTCAATCCTTCAATAATAGAACAATAGTGCTGATAACCTGTTATAAAACTAAAGTAAAATAAGACAAGAAATATAAAACAAGAGGAACAATATGCGATAACTTTCTTTCTTTCAAGTTTTCGCCAAATCTTCAAATATATACAATATGAACCCTTATGCCTCTATTTATAGTGTAACATAGAGGCATACAAAAGATTGGTCATAAACATGATATTAACATGAATATAATGGAGGAGGTTATGAAAGTGAAAAGTTACAAGAATAACGGTTATAAAGTTGGAGGTTGTCTAGGTTATGGTTATCTTCGTAATGAAGGAAAGTAATTGAGACGGTGGATTAGAGTAACTTCTTGATGTAGTGGACATCCACACTATAATATTTTATAACAAGATGAATCTTTTCCTGATTAGTTTGTCAATCTACTTATTACTTATATTCAAATAATAAAATAATCTTGCACAATAGATGTATAAGAAGGAGGTGAAAAATGCATGCTTTGATATTGTTATTGTTTTTTGCCTTGATATTTAAATGGTGTAAAAGTAAATCCTCGTTTTGTAGTGTCATAAGAGAATTCATTCAAAATAAATACTTTTAAAAATCCCACTCACTGATGGTATATTATATGTTTTCTTACTATACTTTTCTTTCTCATTTTAATTTTTTTACAACCATGATAAATTTCTCCTATCCTCATGTTCTCTGGAATAATCCAACCTAAAATTGAATGGAATTGTTCCAAAATATAGTTCATATATAGAGAAAATACTTGTTCAAGATAAATCATCAAAATAAACTCAATAATTATTCATATCTGTACATAACCATAAACAATATATTTAAAGAAAACAATACCCATAGTGAATTATATATATATATAATAGAAACGATGAACAATAGTAAAAGGTGATTACTTATCATTGACATATCTTACTAACTTGTCGTATTTCAATTTTGATGAACTACATATAATATATATCCCTTTAAATTATTGTTAGCGATTAATTGACTTATTTGATGATTAAATATGTATTTTTTCTTAGTTCTGACTATAAACACTTCTCATATACATCTCAATCTTGCATAACACATAAGTTAAAGGGGGCAAAGGGCTTGATATACCCTCACCCCAACTTTGTCATTTAGAGCTAACATACTCCTTCGTTGTAAAAGTGACCTACATATGCTCTTACTGTTACAAAATCGGTTCACATCTGCCCCTTTTTGTTACAAAAGTGGCTTCACATATACCCCTATCGTTACAAAAGTGATAAAATTAATTTTAAATTATTTTTTATTTTCAATATTTTTAAAAATCATGTATTGATTTTTTTCACACAAAAATTATTTTTTGACTTCTTTGATTATTATTATTTGAGTTTCTTATTCTTTTTTTTTTCCAGTCTTTAGTGTAAAATAAGAGAAATAAAAAGAAAGAAGTGTGAATGAAAAAAGATTGAAAACTATTTTTTTTGCGGGTATATTGTAATTTAGTTTTTATCTATGTAAAATATATTTAGGACATATATAATAAATTTTATAAGGAAATAAGTGAAAAGAAAAAATTTGACCATCAAAATAATAAATTAAAACTAGCCGTTGAATTTAAAAATAAATTTAAAAAACGTGAGGAGGATAAAACATACCCTTACATGAATTATTATTTTTAATTAAACATTATTAGAAATTAAGATTTTTTACTTCCGTAAGAGGAAAAGGGTATATATAGGTCATTTGTGTAACAATATGGGTACATATGAGCCACTTTCAGAATGAATACATATTAACCCTAAATGATAAAGTTGAAGGATAAATTGACCCTTTCTCCCTAAATTAAATATCCCTACTTGATTAAACGAATTAATAAAATATTATATCGATACATATATCAAACAAAAAATCAATTTAAACAAAATTATACCCAAAAAATAATCACTACTAGTATTTTACTTAAATAAAAGTAATTAATGTAAAAATTTGTGCTACACTTCTATTTTCGTTATTATTTTTATTTATGAACATTATGTGTGTATAATTATATAACTATTTTCTTATCAGTTATATTAAAAATAAAAAATTAATAACAAATATTTTATTTATTTAATTATTACTTTAATTTAACTTATTTAAAATAAAAATCAATAAATCAATTTGATAATATCGTAAGGACTACAAGTCTACACATAAAAAACAAAAAAGTGGCAAGGAAAAAGTAAAAGAAAAAGCTTTGGAACTATAAAGGAACCGAAGCCTTTTTTTTTATTTTTAAAAAGCATCTTATTCGATCTTTTCAGGGACGGAAAAAATAAATAATTCAACAGACCAAAAATTATTTATAGAAAAAATTAGGGTTTTCTATTTAGCCTTTCCTCAGTATTATTATTCCTCCTCTCTCAAAGTCCCTATATCGCTCTGCAATCGTGTTGATTACTCAAAGCACTTCATTGGAAATTGATTGGTATCGTATACTGATTTGGGACTTTTAATCGATTGTGATTGGGGGATTTAGCTGAATCAACAAAGATCCACTCTTTTGGTTAATTCTTTAATTTTTGTGAATTAGGGTTTCTGATATATGATTATGATTTACGAATCGGAAAGTGTCTGATCGCCGATACATCGGCGAGCTGATTCACGGTTCTGAAGGGGTTTTGGGTTTTGTATGGAAACTCGTAGCCGGAAGCGGGCGGAGGCCACCTCATCAGCGCCTTCTTCTTCTTCCTCTGGGCCAACCACCCGCGCCGCTAAGAGAGCCCGTGTCACCGCCGTTTCTACTTCTACTTCCACCGTCAATTCCACTCCCGTTGCCCCAACTGCATCGATCTCAACTCGTTCTCGCATCACAACTCGTTCTCAGGACTCACTAGCATCTTCTACACCCATGGACTCCACCAATGAATCTTCTGGGTCAGCTAGCCGAAACCGCCGTGGTAAGAACCCTAGTCATGGTTCCGATAAGGATAATTTGGATAAAGGTAAGGAGAAAGAACATGAGGTTAGAGTTAGGGATAGAGAAAGGGATAGGGAAGCCGAGCGGATTCTTGGATTGAACATAGATTCTGGTGGTGCTGGTGAGGACGATGATAATGATAGCGAGGGCGGTGTTGGGATTTTGCACCAAAATTTAAATTCAGCAAGTAGTGCACTTCAGGGACTGCTTAGGAAATTGGGTGCTGGATTGGATGATTTGCTCCCTAGCTCTGGAATGGGGTCGGCATCATCATCCCACCAAAGTGGCCGGCTCAAGAAGATATTAGCTGGTTTAAGGGCGGATGGGGAGGAAGGAAAACAGGTTGAAGCTTTGACTCAGCTGTGTGAGATGCTATCCATTGGAACAGAAGACTCCCTGTCCACATTTTCTGTGGACTCATTTGTACCGGTACTTGTAGGACTGCTCAATCACGAGAACAATCCTGACATTATGCTTCTTGCGGCCCGTGCTCTTACCCATTTGGTTGACGTTCTACCTTCTTCCTGTGCTGCTGTTGTCCATTATGGAGCTGTTTCATGCTTTGTAGCTCGCCTGCTTACAATTGAATACATGGACTTGGCTGAACAGGTGAGTGAATTAACTTGCGTCGAACATGTACACGTTAAGGATTGTTTTTTTTTCCCAACTGTGATGCTAATGTTTGCGTTTGACAGTCTTTGCAAGCTCTAAAGAAGATATCTCAGGAACACCCAACTGCTTGTTTGAGGGCTGGTGCTCTGATGGCTGTGCTTTCTTATCTCGATTTCTTTTCTACTGGTGTTCAGGTAGAAGAATTCCTTTCATGATTAACTCTATCGTGGTTTTGTAGAATCTTTGATTAACTCTATCATAATTTTATGGAATTCAGTTTTAGTGAAACAAGCAACCTTCCAGCTCCTTATGGTACCTATATAATTATTTCTAACTGTTATCCTTCCATAGAGAGTAGCATTGGCGACTGCTGCTAATATGTGCAAGAAGCTTCCTTCAGATGCGTCTGATTTTGTCCTGGAAGCTGTTCCTCTCTTAACGAATCTCCTCCAATATCATGATGCAAAGGTAAATCATCATCATGTTATCTTCCCATATATCCTCTTTCCGAGCCCCTCCTAGTTTGGTTAAACATCACTTTTGTTTCTTTAGTGTCATCTTTTGTTGCTTGTGTCTGCAGGTATTAGAGCATGCTTCTATCTGCTTGACCCGTATTGCTGAAGCATTTGCGTCATACCCTGAAAAGCTTGATGAACTTTGCAATCACGGACTTGTTACCCAAGCTGCATCCCTCATCTCAACCAGCAACTCTGGAGGTGGACAGGCTTCACTCAGCACGTCAACCTACACAGTACGTTTAAATCCTTCATATGTTGGTTATTTACGACCTTGATGGCTGTATTCTGACTTGACAAGTGTTGCAGGGTTTAATCAGGCTACTTTCGACATGTGCTAGTGGCTCTCCGCTTGGAGCTAAAACCTTACTGCTGCTTGGAATAAGTGGAATACTCAAGGATATTCTATCAGGTTCTGATCTTGTGGCCACTGTGTCTATTTCACCTGCCTTGAGCAAACCTCCGGAACAGGTGTGCATCACTGGTTTTAGTTTAAATTCATGTTACAATTATTATTGTTTATTGTAAACAATTGAAACTAGTAGTGCATATTATAGTATAGATTTTCTATAGCGTTGAAAGATCGTTGACTTCTTAGCATACGTCAGTTTGCTAGTCAGATATGTGCCATATTCAATTTTACATTCATGCTTTGTTGAAGTTCAAACACTACATGTTCATAAGTCATTTGGATGTCAAAGAAGGAACAAAATGAGAAAAGTGCCTGGTAGACAAAACCTGTTATGATCAAATATAGTACTCCATGGTCCCCACATGGAGTGAAATATTTATCAATTAAGTTATTTTCCGGAGAAAGTTGTTTTTTGAGTTAGGTTTTTCCCCGGCATATCGGAGACATCCTCTCTACATTGCAAAGGTAGAGGTAAGGGTATATCCTGCCCTCCTCAGACCCCACTTGTTGGATTACACTGGGTATGTTGTAATTTATTATTCTTGGTAGTTGAAATCAATTAAAATCCAATATATTGTTTTAATGTCCCCAAAGCAAATACTTATAGTGATCTGAAATCTTGAACTAAGATTAAAGAGAATTACCAAAGTAAGAAAGTGGAGAACTTGACAGCTTGACTTATGACCGTTTGTTTAGATTTTTCTCCTTGATATGCCTAATTGCCTATTCTCAGACATAACTATGCATTACTTCTCATAAATATAGTCGTTTATTCGTATCACTAATTATTCTTGATTCTTTATAAAAAAAACTAACATTTCTAGAGTCTTTCAAATAACGATATCATTAAAATACTTGAATCATATTAGGCGTTCAATAAATATGTATGTTTATAAACGACTGATTTCGATAACAATGTGCTTCTCTCCTCCTACTCCAATAGCGCACACTGGTCAATTCTTCTCTCGAATAGACAGGTTATTGGAGAACCACCACTGAAACATGTACAGTAGGTATGCCCCCCAAGGCCTAGCTCGAGTGGCAAAAGGTGGAGGATTTGTGGTTTAGGTCACAGGTTCAAGCCCCATACCATGCAAAGCGAAGCCCAGTATTTAAGTCGAAAAGGGTAGAGGGGTGGACCCATTATCCACCGAGTTTAGAAGGTTGTGATTGGTCCAAAGGGTGGGTCACATGCAGATTTCTCGGTTATAAAAAAAAAAACATGTACGGTAGGTATTAATTCAAGAAACTAAAGTTTAAACTAGTACATCAATCATCAAATTCTGATAATAAAGAAAAATGACTTCATGAAGGGATTCTTATCATAAATCATAAGAAAGAAGAGTTGTAATCAGGAGCAGTGTTATCAAAGGCGAAAAGCGCAAAAAAGCTCTAAGGTCCGTGGGGCTTTTAAGTGCGAAGTGCAAATAAAGTGTTTATGGCTCAAAAACTAAAGATACCTTGGCTTATGAGACAATCATACCCTTTTTATTATAGGGTAAATATCATTACAGAACAAATTCTATTGTCCATATGCTTAATTTTATGTACTTCATTCCGCTTTGTGTTGTGAATGCATCACATATCTGTCCTGTGTTAGGTAGTATCTTGACTGCCTTTTTGGGAGGCTGCGCAAAACCCTCCGCAGATCCGACCTCAATTATTGACCTTCTTGGTACTTTCCTTCCCTCTTGAACATGGATTGTCCGGGTTATGCACCTTTGAATATACATATACCAAATTTGTCTAAAGTTAGTACATTAACCATCCGAATTAAATAAAATTAAATCAAAAGTCACCTATAACACGTCCAAAAATATCACATTCATCATGTTTAACTATTATGTCTAAACTAATCATTTGACTCATCACCTTCTGAAAACAAGGTAGTATCATTACAATGTGATGGTGGTCCAAATACTTGTTTTCAACTTCAACTTGAAATACTTTTTTGCAACTTCAAACTATAACTGTCCGAATCCCTACTTGGTGTCCTAGAGGAGAACTGGAGATCACTGCCATTATCGAGAAATCCATTGTTTTTAGCTTCAAAACTCGGTGGATATTGAATATTCAAATGTAGTATTCTAGAATGTCAATCAAGTATTATGAGTAATTGGTAAAACAACCTTCTAATATAAGTTTTGGAACACTCCATGGTTTTCTGGTTAATTTTTTTGTTAGTATGTGAAGACTCAAATTGTTTGTCACTGATGTCAATTGAACATTAATAGTGTAAATATGACTGTGATTAAGCTCGCCATGGGCAGACAGAACTATCTAAAAATAATTCAAGAGCTTCCATGCCTGGAGTATGTTATGAAGAACCTTACAACAACATACCTAGTAGTCATGCAAGTGGGGCCTGGGAAAGGTAGGATTAACCTTTCTGGGGCAGTATAATTTTTTAATGTGTTTTTTCTGCTAGTTGACTCGATTCACTTGTGAATTTAGATGGCAATCTACCACTTATTAAATTTACTCTTGTTGCAAAATCATCTGGTTTCATGGAAGCTAGTGCTTGAGCAAATGCCATGAAATGATGCCCTCTCTGTGCTGTGTACAAACTGTTTCTTCTGAAAGCTGCTTGTATCTCTTATATTGACATCAAATGAATTTACGCACTGTTAGATTTTTGAGATCGTGAACCTGGCAAATGAGCTCCTTCCTCCGCTGCCTCAAGGAACCATCTCTCTTCCAGCCGGCACTAATCTGCTCATTAAAGGTTCTGCTATAAAGAAATCATCTGCTAGTGGTTCTACCAAACAGGAGGATATGAATCCATCTTCCCAGGAGGTTTCAGCTCGAGAAAAATTGTTGAATGATCAACCTGAACTTCTGCAACAATTTGGAATGGACCTTCTTCCTGTGCTGATCCAGGTTAGTATTATAATTATAATCCATTGTAAATTGCTGCCATCACTTACTACTGCCATGGTGGAGATTTACCAGGCGAAACCCTGTTGTTTTACTTGTCAGGTATACGGATCCAGTGTGAATAGTCCAGTTCGCCACAAGTGCCTCTCAGCTATTGGAAAACTTATGTATTTCAGCAGTGCAAATATGATTCAATCTCTAAATAACGTCACTAACATATCAAGGTATGAATATAAACAATACAAGCTTGCAATTTTTCTTTGGGCGTTGATTTGGGATGGAATGGTTATCCAAGTAACAATCTTTATATGCATCATATTTCTTTGGTAGTGAAAGTAGTGCTTCATTTATGATTCCTATGTAGTTTCTTGGCTGGAGTATTGGCCTGGAAGGATCCTCAAGTGCTGGTGCCTGCTCTTCAAGTAGCAGAAATTCTAATGGAAAAGCTTCCTGGAATCTTTGCCAAGATGTTTGTGCGAGAAGGTGTTGTTCATGCCGTAGATGCTCTGATATTGTCTCCCTCCCATGGTTCTTCTACTTCCCAGCCGTCTTCTGCTGAGAAGGACAATGATTGTATACCCGGGTCATCTCGTTCTAGACGTAACCGACGTCGTGGCAGTAATGTAAATGCAGATGCAAGTTCCATTGAGGCTCCTAAAAGTACAGTTCCAGGGAGTGGATCACCACCAAATTCACTGGAAATCCCAAAGACCAGTTCTAACCTTCGGATTGCAGTCAGTGCAGGTGCCAAATCTTTCAAAGATAAATACTTCCCTTCAGATTCTGGGGCTACTGAGGTTGGTGTTACAGATGATCTTTTACGATTGAAGAATCTCTGTATGAAGTTGAACGCTGGTGTTGATGAACAAATATCTAAACCTAAAGGAAAATCAAAAGCTTCTGTTCCTCGGCTTGGGGATATTTCTGCCAGTAAGGAAGACACCTTGGCCGAACTGGTAGCTTCCATGCTGGGGGAGCTCAGCAAAGGGGATGGTGTATCAACTTTTGAGTTCATTGGAAGTGGAGTTGTTGCAGCTTTGCTGAACTATTTTACATGTGGATATTTTTCGAAGGAAAGAATCTCAGATACTAACTTGTCTAGGCTTCGACAACAAGCACTCAGAAGATACAAGTCTTTTATTGCAGTTGCCCTTCCATCCAGTGTAGGTGGGAATATGGTTCCTATGACTGTTTTGGTTCAAAAACTTCAAAATGCTTTGTCTTCCTTGGAGAGGTTCCCTGTCGTGCTGAGTCATTCTTCAAGATCATCTACTGGAAATGCACGACTTTCTTCAGGTTTAAGTGCTTTATCACAACCATTCAAGCTACGCCTTTGCAGAGCTCAAGGAGACAAGACCCTCCGTGACTACTCTTCAAATGTTGTGTTGATCGATCCTTTAGCAAGTCTAGCGGCTATTGAAGACTTTCTGTGGCCTCGAGTTCAGAGAGTTGAGTCTGGTCAAAAGGCCTTGGCATCAGTAGGCAACTCTGAGTCTGGGACCACCGCTGCAGGGGTTGGTGCTTCATGCCCAGCGACCTCTACTCCGGCTTCTGGATCTCGTCGTACACGATCTAGGTCAGCAGTTAATATAAATGATGGTGCAAAAAAAGACCCACCACAGGAAAAAAATGGAAGTTCATCCAAGGGCAAAGGAAAGGCTGTTCTGAAGCCTGCTCAAGAAGATGGCAGGGGACCCCAGACACGAAATGCTGCTCGAAGACGAGCAGCATTGGATAAAGAAGCAGAAGTTAAATCTGTGAATGGGGAATCTAGTTCTGAGGTATATTTCTTCATACATTTCGTTCTTTGTTGAAGATCGCTGTTTAAATAGTAAGTTATGGAATAATAAATAAATGAGAAGATGTTAAGAAAAAAATACAAAAGAACGAGGAAAAATATGATTAAAATTTGTATTTGGCGCATCTTCATCTTCATCAATATTACAGTAGAAGAGTAATTTTCTATTATATCCTTCAAAATGAAAGAGATAATCTTGATACAAGGAATATCATTCAGAAATAGCATAAAAGAGAAATAGGATACACGTGGAACAAAAAAATTGTATGTTTGCACTGAATAATAACAAAAAGCACAGAATAGTCTGGTCTTGCCCAATATATGTAGGGGAAATGGTATTTTCTGACCTAGTCACATGTTTCTCTAACCCAAGAGTGTAACGTAGTGGTCACATGATTTAGCTTTTTGAATCTCGAGTTAAATTTGAATTAGTTATGTCTCTCTTTTGAACATTTTTTTGATAAGGCTGGCTCTTGACCATTAGGTTTCATTTGTTGAAATAAAACAGACAAATGCTTATTTAAAACTTTGATGTTTTTCTATATCTTTTTGCTTCCATTTTTTATCTCCTGAGTAGTTGCTGGTTTGTATGAGAACATGAACTTTTTCATCCCACTGCTTGTTGTGATGTTTAGGATGATGAGTTGGATATGTCACCTGTTGAAATTGACGACGCTTTGGTTATTGAGGATGAAGATATATCTGATGATGATGAAGATGACCATGATGATGTAAGCTATTGAACTTCTCCTTGCTTTTTTTAAACCTTGAATCAAAATCCTTGTTTTTTAAATTTCAGATTCTGGCATTTTTAATTAACTTAGGTAATGGATAGTCGTGTTGCTCGGGCTCTTAAAATGTCCATGCGTGTGTGTAAGATCCCCCAGAAGTAATACATTTTTGGAGGCTTTGACACGGGTGCGTCAATATTTTGCTGGAGTTCGAGCAACATGTTTGAGAGCATATTTGCATTCTCAATATGCATATTTTCAGCTCATCTCCCCAGATCAACTTGAGCAGCTCTTTTAATTTTATATGCTGTTGTATTAAAGATGTTTTTCTGAAATTGTTGCCGAGGCTTTAGGTGTTGGGCGATGATTCTCTTCCTGTTTGCATGCCGGACAAAGTTCATGATGTCAAATTGGGCGATTCTTCGGAAGATAGTCCTGCCACACAGACGCCAAATGATAACCAGACAAATGCTGCTGGTGGTTCAAGCAGCAGAGCTGCTTCTGCTCAGGGATCTGATTCTGTTGAGTTCAGGAGTGGGAGTTCTTATGGTTCAAGGGGTGCAATGTCATTTGCTGCAGCTGCCATGGCTGGACTTGCATCTGCGAACGGTAGAGGTTTGAGAGGAGCTAGAGATCGTCATGGACGCCCTCTATTTAGCACTAGCGATCCACCCAGACTTGTATTTTCTGCAGGCGGAAAGCAGCTTAATAGGCACTTGACTATCTACCAGGCCATCCAGCGGCAACTTGTCCTCGACGAGGATGACGAAGAGAGGTATGGTGGCACTGACTTTCTGTCTAGCGACGGAAGCAGACTTTGGGGTGATATTTACACTATCACATACCAAAGAGCTGACAGCCAAGCAGAGAGGTCTACAAAAGGGGATGGGAGCTCAACTTCCACCAAGTCTAATAAAGCTAGTTCTTCAGCAAGTGCCAGTGCCAGTGCCAGTGCTGATCCCTCATTGCATCGAGCATCATTGTTAGATAGTATATTACAGGGAGAACTTCCTTGTGATATGGAGAAAAGCAATTCTACTTACAACATTTTGGCCCTTTTACGTGTAGTAGAGGGATTAAACCAGCTGGCCCCACGATTACGTGTGCAGTCAGTTATTGATGATTTTTCTGAAGGCAAAATATTGAGTTTAGATGAGCTCAATACTACTGGTGTCAAAAGTCACTCGGATGAATTTGTAAACAGCAAGCTCACTCCAAAGTTGGCCCGACAGATACAGGATGCTCTAGCCCTTTGTAGTGGGTCTCTTCCATCATGGTGTTCCCAGTTGACAAGGTCCTGTCCGTTTCTTTTTCCATTTGAGACTCGGCGCCAGTACTTCTATTCAACGGCCTTTGGATTATCTAGGGCTTTATATCGGCTTCAACAGCAGCAAGGTGCAGATGGTAATGGATCCACCAATGAGAGAGAGGTCAGGGTTGGGAGACTACAGCGCCAGAAAGTTCGTGTCTCTAGGAATCGTATTCTGGATTCTGCTGCAAAAGTAATGGAGATGTACTCTAGCCAAAAAGCTGTTCTCGAGGTCGAATATTTTGGTGAAGTTGGCACTGGTTTGGGCCCAACTCTGGAATTCTATACCCTGTTAAGTCGCGATCTGCAAAAAGTTGGACTGAGAATGTGGAGAACAAGTTCCTCAGCAAGTGTACATTCAATGGAAGTGGGTGTGGATGAAAAATTGAGCGGGGGTGATAAAGAGCTTGTCCAAGCACCTCTTGGATTATTCCCACGTCCCTGGTCATCAACTGTTGAAACTGCAGATGGCAACCAATTCCCGAAAGTGATTGAATATTTCAGATTGCTAGGGCGTGTGATGGCGAAAGCACTTCAAGATGGACGGCTTTTGGATCTCCCTCTGTCAACTGCATTTTACAAGCTTGTTCTTGGCCAAGTAAGGGCTTCTCTCTGTTTTTTTATTTTGCACGTGATTACCATCTATGATTAAATTATTGCATTTATCTTTCTGTTTTTTGTTTTTCTTTCCTAACGTTTCTGTGCTTTAACATTGTAGGAGCTTGATCTGTATGATATTCTTTCTTTTGATGCTGAGTTAGGAAAGACTTTGCAAGAGTTGCAAGCTCTTGTTAGCCGTAAACAAAATCTAGAATCAATTGGAGGCCAGGGACAAGAGAACATTAATGATTTGCATTTTCGTGGGATCCCAGTTGAGGATCTTTGTTTAGACTTCACGCTCCCAGGCTATCCTGAATATGTTCTGAAAGCAGGCAATAATAATGTATGCTCTGCTTTTCTTGGATGCCATTTCATCTTTTTGTCCTCTTCATCATTTTGTTTGATTTGTATACTTCAATTGGAACTTGCAGGTTGATCTTTGTAACTTGGAAGAATATGTTACTTTGGTAGTTGATGCCACTGTGAGGACGGGAATTGGGCGGCAGATGGAAGCATTTAGATCTGGCTTCAATCAGGTTTGTTGCCACCATAGGATTTTAGCTAATTAGAGATGCATCTAGGGATGATATTTAAATGATAATTTGGTGCAACTTTCACTTAATCAATTCATCAGTTACCTGATACTTTTTTGATATCATCACTTATCTTATGATAGTGAAATAACTTTTAGGCTCCACAACTTTCAGGTTTTTGAGATTTCAGCTCTGCAAATATTCTCTCCTACTGAGTTGGACTACCTGCTTTGTGGTCGTAAAGAGTTATGGAAGGTAATGTTTTGTTTCTCATGAACCCAGTATAGCACAGTGTAATCTTGTATGTGTCCAGCTCTTATTGAATTTCATTTCTTTTGCTTATCCAGGCTGAGACGCTTGTAGATCATATCAAGTTTGATCATGGATATACAGCCAAGAGTCCCGCCATCGTTTATGTAAGTTTGTTCTTCAGCTGTCAGTGGAAGTGTAGTGCCTGAGACAGTAATGTTGTCAAGGTAGCCTTCATCTCTCTCTTATATTGGCTTCAAACTGATGTCAACTGTTTAATTTGATTCTGATCAGTTATTAGAGATCATGGGAGAGTTCACTCCTGAGCAGCAACGAGCATTCTGTCAGTTCGTGACTGGTGCTCCCCGGCTTCCTCCAGGTGGTCTGGCCGTGCTCAATCCTAAGTTGACAATAGTGAGAAAGGTATGGCTGTAGTTGGCTGAAATATTAGTCCCGTCTGTTAATTCTCTCTGCAGAGGCTGACTGTCATATCTTTTGAGCAGCATTCATCTAGTGCTAGCAATACAGCACCAAATGGTAATATGCCATCAGAATCTGCAGACGACGACTTACCTAGTGTGATGACATGTGCTAACTACCTGAAACTGCCTCCCTATTCTACAAAGGTATGATTTCTCCCCAATTTGTCGGCTGTTGGCTGTGGCGTAACTTTTCCTGTCATCTGCTTTCCTATTACAGTTTTAGAATTTTTCCTACTCTCGACTGTCTCCGGATATTGTTAATCCTTACACATCTCTCTGCAGGAAATAATGTACAAAAAGTTGCTCTATGCTATCAATGAAGGTCAAGGATCATTTGATTTGTCGTAAGTTACATGACAAAAGGACTTGTGTATACAACTTGGAAATTATTGGTGTCTGGTCCTCAATAAAGCCGGATCTGGGCCATCCTCAACTAACAACACCTAGGTTTGTATTCATCAGAATCTGGTGTTGTGTATCTTTATCTAGTTATATTCCTTTTCAACTGCTTTTCCTCTATTTTGATTGCTCGTTTCATTACAGCTGAGTTGGTGTGAAGATAGTAAAATGAACAATTTGTTTGTTTGTTTTTGAGCCATGCAAATTAGTCCCACTAATTTAACTTCCTTAATGCATTTTGGTATTTTCAGATTATTTAACTCCAGCTTTGTGTTTTGGCTACTTTGTTTCACAGCTGACATTGGCACCTTGCTTCGATCGAATGATGAAGATGGGTTTTTTTTTTCTTTTGGGGGGGTTCTTTTGCTACAAATGGTTGTAAATATGTAGGAAGATATTTTCTTTCAAATTTTGACTTTTTTAAGGTCGTGCAGCACATACATGTAAGGGCACCGATATTGCCATCTTTTTAGCTTCTCGCAGATATGAGGAATGCTGTTTCTTTGTCAGTACAGTTATTACTTAATTAAAATGATGCAATAAATTGGCCAACTTAGCTGAGCGCCACAAAGCTGCATGATTTTGGGGGCCTAACTATTTGAAGTGTTGTCTTTGTATAAATCACAAGTTACAGGTATGTTGTCCCAGAATAAAATTCTACTTGGGAGTTGAAAAAAGTGAGTGATGATTTAGGGGAGGATATGATCACTATCTTTTACTGTTATCCTTTATATCTTTGTAAATGTCTTGATATATGCGACATCATATGTTAAAGACTTAAATCTTAATAAAGAAATAATAAAAAAATGAATTTTTTTTTGAAATGCTTAGTTTAGGGGTCTAAACTAGTTGGGTTGGATTATTAAATTTATAAATCAAATCAAATTAATATACTCGGGCTTCTCTACCTTAGAATTTTATGGGTTTTTGAAATATTTTGTTTCATTTTTTTCATTTGTACAAATATATAATTGATTGGTACTCCAAATATTGAGATGAGTGAAATATTCAGCAAAAGATAATAATGAAATTGCATAAAATAACTTTTACAAATTATCAAATGATATCATAATTCAGAAGTATTAAATCATATTAAAATTGTTAATAAGTATTAACAACATGATTAAACATTAAGGAAAAATAAAATGTCTGAACCAATGTAAAACTAAAGAATAAATATCAATATTATTGTCATATTGAGTGTTGAATTATTATTGTTTTGTTAGCATTGGTATTGATTTGATTTTGATTTGAGCTTTATTAGAGTTACTAATATTTATGCACTATAAAATTTATTCTACGATTCAAAATTCTAAGTCTAAAAAACTTGAAGTAATATGTTAATTGTTAAAAGATAAAAATTATGAAGAAGTGTAAAAAAATATTTAGAAAATATATCAAAGTATAAGAAATATTTAGAAAATATGTCAAAATAAATTTTTAAAAAATTAGATATATAGTGTCGGTTGATTTTTTTGTGTTAATCAACGTGATCCAGGTATAGTCGATTTCTTTTTTCTCAATACCAAACCAAATTGAAGTTTTTCTTCAAACATAATTTGTGATTTAATTTGATTTGATTTTTGGTTCTGTTTTGTACTCTCCTACTCGGGGCAATTCTTTATACATTATTCGTGAAAAATATATTACTCGACAGATCAAACTTGTCTTGTATTCATTCTCATTTCAACCCATCAAAAGAATGTGGGTTGAAGAAGAAGCATCACATCACGCACCATATAGGAAGGAAAACAGCACTAACATCAGAGTCATTGATAATCAAAACATAATCAGTAAATAAGCATAAACTTCAAGCAAAAGACTATACAAAAACTGTTAATACTAGAGGAGAATCAATAGTATCCCAAGCCTAATCCATAACAAAGACTATATATGCTCATTTCTATATTACTAAATTTGTGATCATTACTAATTTATCTGGTTCTAAGATTGAATTATTATATTTTTTAGAAAAAAAGACATGAATACAGTGAACAAACTTATTAAATTCTAAAATAAATAATTATAAATACGTACCTCTGGTGTTGATTTTATAATTCAACGATCCAATCTCCATTTTTGTATTTGACTACACAAACACTAAAAGTAATATGGAGATTAGCAATTAAATAATATTTTCTTTTTCCTATGTTTTTCGTTAATTATTTGTATCATAGTATTTGATTTTTTTTCTAATCAAATAGTTAAATTTGTTGTTTATTAATTTTTTTCTTTTCTTTTAGTTTTGTTCTAAAACTACCAAATGACTTGTAAGCAAAAGAAAATCAAAACATTTAATAATTTCGAGTGTATATATAGTAATTGCTTCTTATTTTCATAAAAAGTGACTTTACATCTATAATATTGTCACGTCCCAAACTCAAGGGGCGCAACTGGCTCATGCCAAAACTCAGGTCCGAGCCGACCCTGCTGAACCATTTGCTACTAGCGCATGACAGACACACGCAATCAAGAAAACAAACTAGTATATCCCGACTTAAAACTAAGCCCTCGGTCGGTAAGTCCCATGTCAACATATATATAAAAGAAACAGCTACTCCCAAGAGTTCATATAAAAAAATAGCCAACTAGCACAGAAGTCCTGACTGGGCCGTCGAGGCCACCATGATATCTATACAAAAACTGGAAGCAGGTATATATCAAGACAATACATCAAACAACTCACAAGCTGCAGCAAACCAACAAAACTAGGCCAGTATGGCCATAACCTAGTTGTACATCTCACACACTAGTCTACAAGCCTCAAAGAGTAGTAAAGATTGGCGGGACAGGGCCCCAGCCTACCCATAAAGATATATACAACAAAAGGTAGCAAATCTCCCAACTCTGGCAGCTCCGGAGGAAAGAGGCTAGCCAACCGGATAGAAGTCAATCCTGCTACTGAGGAGGTCTACTCGGTCGTCTGTCAGGACCTGTATGCATAAATGTAGCACCCTAAGCAATGGGGCGTCAGTACAAAATAATGTACAGAGTATGAAAGGTTGTAGAATAAATGAACAAGTATCATAATATACCAAAAGCAATTAGGTAAGGAAATCAAATTTAGATAAGCATGCCAACTCACTACTGAATCTAATAAAATACAATAATGATCAAACATCAACCTAACCAAGCCCCCATAAGCCCGGTAGGTACAAAAAACATACCACCTACTTAGGCTCCAATAAGCCCAAAAGGTGCCAAATCAATCTACATAACCTTATCGGTAGCCCCTTGTCTTTGTAAGAAGTCACATAGCCCTTTTTGGCAACATCATAACTCTATGGGATGCACATAGCCCCATTTTGCATCAACATAGCCCTGTAGGCAACACATAGCCCTCTTTGGCGTCAAAATAACCTTATAGGCAACACATAACACTCTTTGGCACCCTCTTTGGCGTCAAAATAACCTTATAGGCAACACATAACACTCTTTGGCATCAATATAGCCCCGTGGGCAACACATATCCCTCTTTGGAAATAACATAGTCATATTAGACAACATCATAGCCCCCATAGGGAGTTCATAGCTCAACAACAACCACAATAGCCCCAAGGGAGACAACAAACAATTGAATAGGCTAAAGGCGAGCAATTTATCTATAAACAATATATATGAATAATCTCCAAGTTGTTCCTAACTTAGGGTCATTCTTAACAGATTATGAGTCCCTAAAATAAGGGTTTATAACCACTCAATCAGCCAACCACTCACAATTACATCTACAAGATCACCAATGTAAACTACCTCTAAGGAAACATGTCGACGAAGGGAAAAACCTTAACATACCTTTCCAATGAATGCTCGAAAGACCGTAGTTCCTTCACGAAAGTTGTTCCTTATGTCTTAAACTTCGCAAACACTATATATACACAGCTGGTATGCACATATAAACAGTTCATAATTAATCTTAAATCGGCATATTTGCCATATTGCCCCAACTTGTCGAAACGTCCGTAGAAATTCATAAAAACAATCATAAAGGAGTCCTGAGATGATTACCTTTGTTAATCAAGTTTAAACCTTGAAGAAACACCAATAACTACAAATTTATATCTTCAAAAACCAGCTCCAAACGCAGCTAATAGAAGGGAAAAATGATTGCCACGTGTAGGGATTACGTTTCTAGGCACGGGGGAAATGTTTAATGGTAGAAATCGTCAAAAACTAACCTTCATAATGCTAGAACTCCATAGGAACCCTCTTTTAAGCTTTATCTCTGGTTTGGAACTGAAATGGAATGTTTTCATGGCTTAAAACGTTAAATAAGCCGACATTCCATATTTTTTACCCGACCCGGATTCTGCCGCGGCAGTCCCTAGTAAAACCCTCATAACTTTTTACTATGATGTCGGTTTGATACGGGGTTTTGTGTGTTGCAAACTAGACTCGTAGGCCTTCGATAAGTTAAATTACATTTTTCATTTTTTTTAAAACATTCCAAAACGTAAAAATATATAAATAATTACATTTTATTTATTACTTTTCAAATTCTAAATTTTGTTGTAAGAGTTTGAAAAAATGCTTGAGATCTCTGAGCTCCATTCAAACTTTGTAAAGTATGATTTGCATACATTAATCTTCAAACTTTAGATGAACCTTTAAATATATTTTGAATATCTTCACAAATATGAAATACTTCAGTTCTCAGCTTTCTGATTAGATCGACTTTAAGCGTTCTTCAAATAAATAAAAAATACATAATATGAGAGAAGTGTCTCTACAAATTGGTCAATAATAAAGGTGGATTATGATTTGACTAAACCTTACATACAACAATTGCATAAGGTCTTGGTCCTCTGATTACGCGCATCCTATTGCTAAAATAATATCGCTCGGAGATAATTGTCCTTAGTTGCAACATTACAATAGTCCATCACAATTTCATATAGTCATCAGTCAATCACCCAATAAATTTATGTTATATTAGTAACTTTTTTATTACCGATAAATTCAAGATTAAAATTTTATGGATTTAAATTAGAAATTCTTATTTCAACTATAAATACATATTTAATTAATATGCTCATCAACATATGTATTTTCTTATAATCCATAGTAGAGAAACAGTAAGTAAAAGGATATAGAAAAATAATTCATTAGCCTTCGAGGTAATGAAGTGAATGCATTACCTTCTAAGAAATTAATTAATTTTCTAACTTTAACTTATTCATGGACACATACAAATCTTGAGAACTATTTATTTCGACTCTGTCACTTAGATGTCATTAGAAAACAAAGAAGAACTATAACGGAGGTAAAACTTTAAAATAACCAAAGAAAATACTTACATGATCAAATGGCACAAGTGGCTATATAGCTAAATATATATATGCTCCCAAAAACTTGCTCCCTGTAGTTGTTTTTGAAGTATATCAAACAGGAAGAAAAAATTAAGAAAATGAATGGCATCTTTGATTATTCAATAATAAAAAATAAATCCAACCATTAAAACATTACAAATAATGAAATAACGTGCATATTTATTTTCTTTCGAATTTTTGAATTTCATTAATGTTATGACTTCATCAGTATACTTAGAATCT